AGGGCAACTGGGGTCTCCGGCGCCCCCTCTGCGGCAGGGCCTCGAACCCGCTAACCTCCCAGCGGGGGGGTATCGGCCCAGCCGGCCGATTCCCGGACCTCTGCCACCGGGGAGGCCAAACGCCTCTCCCCCTGCCCCAGGATCCCCGGATCCTTCAGCCGGATCCGACTGCCTTTCAACCCTCCGGGCCGTCCGTTCCAGGCGGATCTGTGAGCGGAAAACCTCTCGATCCTGCTGCAGGGAGAGCGCCGGGAATTTCAGCCCCCCCCCCCCCGAAGAATCTGCGGTCGAGAGGACGGGGAACGCGACGATCGCGCGGTGCTTTTCCGACCCGGCTCTCTGCTGCTCCCTGGTGTCCGTATAACGTCTTGTCACCTCACCGAAGCCTGGTTTTTACAAGCGGACGGGCCGTTCCTCTGGCTTCGAGGGAGCCAGGATGCTCCCAACTCCAGCAGGCGTGTCGCTTCCAAAGAGCCGCCCCCCCCCTCCTTCCTGGTTCCCGGAACTCCAAAGCCCGGGAAGTTTTGTAGGGAGACTCGCGGAGAGATAGTCACCGTCCACCTGTCCGTCGAGATCTGACCAAAACGGCCTTTCCGAGGAGTTTCGGAAACCCAGTCCGTGTCCGAAGTCCGGAATTGAAGCCGGGTGAAGTCGCTGGCGGGATCCAGCAGGTCTCCGAGAGCCCAGCTGGGATGATGGCCGGAAGACTCCCCTCTTGTGGGCGGGACCAGGAGTCAGGACCCCCCGTTCCGGGCCTCTGTGGGGTGTCTCGTTTTGTGCCGGACGTCTTTTTTTGTGGGGTGCGTTCGTGTAGGACACGGGGGGAGGGGCTTGAGATTAGACCCCAGACGGGTTTGGTTGGAGAAACGTACGGGCGTATGAATGATGTAAATATTTCGGAGGGGGATTGGGGGGGGAGATTTTAAAAGGCAAAGCGGGCTTGTCTGAGGACCTACTGTACTCTTTTTTTAATTTGTTTTTTAAATGAAGGGCTGAGGATGCGCTGTCCTCCCCGTGTTGGGGAGTTGTTGTGATTAGCAGGAGAAAATGTTCAGGTTGCTCTCCGATGACCAATAAAGCCTTTCCTGGTTTGGTTTCTTCTTCTGCTTCTTGACTTGATCTGATCCTTCGGCGTGGGGGGCGGGGACGTTACCTGGTGAATCGCAAACTACGTCACGTCCTGCGGGTTTTTAAGGGGGTCCAAGTGCCGGGTGTTGCATGCAGGCAGAAGAGACACAAACTGCCGAAAGAAACTGGGAATCGCTGGGCTCCCAGGAGGAAAACTCTGGATTTTTGTGGCGTTATTTCTATCTAGTGGGTGCTGCAGAAGCGATTAAAAAAAAAAAACCCAGCAACGTTCGGACCTATGGTCGGAGTGTTGAGTTTTAAACGAGAGAGGGTGAAGTTGAACAAAA